TGCAAAATAGCAGAAATTCAAATTTTGACTGTGAGCAAAAACAATTTTGTGGTTTAATCATATATTTCCAGATTTGCTAGATAGCCTTAACTAGGCGTTGAAAAAGCCTTGTTTGGTACTTTCTAAAGAATCAGTTCCAAGGAAGGGGAAAGAGAGAGAAAATTAGACGGTGATGTTATTTGCCTTTCAAAATTTCTCTTTGATCTGAAGTTTCTACTGAAATATATGAAAGATTGAGATTCTCAGATTGACTCCCTAGGGTGGAACATTGTAAATGTAAGACATTTTTGACCACCTTGGTTCAATCTCTAGTAGTGTAACACTGGAGCATACACCCAGAGTCCAGAAGACATCAAGTTCACTGGGAGAACTTGGACTTTCATCCCCTAGTCATGGGCTTCAATTTCAAGTTTTAATATCTTCATCGAATATTTGGAGGTTAGAGCAAGCCATTCTGAGAAAATAGACACTTTCCCCATGATGATGTAAATAATAAGAAGGGCATTCTGATTCTAATAATAAGCCGATCCCACTCTCAAACATTACATCCCACCTACCAGGTGTTTTCTACCCTTGGCCACAGAGCGAAACTTACTGCAGTAGTAACAGTAGAAGGAAACAATAGCCATTCTGAATCAATAATTAGACTCTTCTCATTTGTTACGATGATTAACTACATTTCTGCTTCAGCTACTAAATAAGATAATCAATCTTAGGTTCACTTGAGTAGAAAAGTGTAAGAACAACAACTAGTTAATGAGATAAAAGCTAGATCAAGAGCAGAGATGAAAGGTTATCATTTCACTTTAAACACATCTAACACTAATCTGAATGTAAATGGATATGAAAAGCCAATGTAACAATTTATATAACTAGTTAAACCCAAGTAATGAATTCAGTAAAAGAACCAAACAACTTATTCATCTTAATTAATTAACATTCAGCCAATATATAAGATCCAATTGTCCTATAATATGAGCTTAATCTGATCAATGGTTTCCTAGAAGCAAATATTTCAATGACTTTTAAATACATGCACATAGTTTTTAATGAAACACATAAATATTAGTAATCTCATTTCTTATGCCTTGTAAGTATTATGATGTTAAAACATTTCGGTTGTTAAGTATGCTTAATTCTAAACCATACTTTAAACCACTCCTTCCCTGATCAAACAAACAAACAAACAAACAAATTAGAGAAAATGTGCCAAGATAATAACTACATGTCCATGGGGACTATTAACATATTAATGAACTGTGTTTCTGTTTACACTTCCATCACCAGAGCTAATTGTTAGTTATTTTAAGGAAGAGGTTGTGTCTTAATTAACAGCACTCACCAAATGAAAGCTGGTTGCATTTCTTAACTGTGTTCACATTTCACAAGTCTTATTTCACGGCAGGGATTCCAGTTTATCCAATACTTTTATGTGATAACACCTCTGATCAATGAAGAAAGTCTTTAAAAGACCTCAAATAATTAGTTCCCAGAATAGAAGCCAACAAAAAAGTATAATTAATGGGTAAGCTAATTGTTTTATCTCTGGAACATTAACATATATACACATTTTGAATGAGGAAGACTGGAGGAGATGAAACAATCTTGGTATTTAATATTTATAACTTTGATATTTCTAAGCACTTAAAAAGACCAAGAAATGTGGGACAACCTTTTTCATTTTTGTAGTATGGTCTTCCTATGACTCTGGCTCCTTCTCTGCTCTCTGTCTTATCTATACCTTGGGACTGTTACAAGGATTGAATTTAATCATGTGCTTTGAAGAACATACAACTCCATCACTTTTGCTTTGCCTTCCTTGTCATTCTGATCATTTCTCTGCTTTTCAATTTCCTGTGCACCACTAGTATCACACTCCCCCACCTCTTTGAACCATATCTCCCCACTTTATGATTCTTCTGCCTTTCCCACTAGTGCTCTCTCTACTCTGGCAGAAAGCCAAAAAAAAAAAAAAAAATGTAGTGGGTGAGTGGGTTGTCATAGGCTTTGTGCATAGTCAATCAAGTCTAATCTGAATGTCCATAGTCACAGTCTACTTCTTTTCTATACATTACCTCAGAAGTCAAGGGAAAATGGAAAGGAAGAGAGAAAACTCTCAAACAAATACATTTTATTTGTCAGTTTTATCCCACATTTTTTGTATCTTAACAAAACATTTTAATCTTCCACTGTTCCTCAAAAAATTGGAAATAAATAGGGACGACTTGAGGGGAAAAATACAATTTAGTAAATATAGAAGAGGCGGCTTTGATCAAAATTTCCTGACTTGATTTTTATTATTTATCATATTTTTCAGAGACTATGAGGGTCATTTGGTTCCACGATGGTGGTTTGTATGTTTCTGGAAGTTATCTCACCTGAATTTCAACTCCCAGCAGGGTCATGTATGGTTAACAGGTTTTATTGAAGCTTCCAGATTAAAATTGACCAGGAAGAAAGGCCTGGAGATCTACTTCTGAAACTTATCTAAGGAAAATCTCATGGATCACAACAGAGTATTGTCTGAACTAGGGATGAAAGATGAGCCCCATAGGTTGGAAGGTAATTCACAATAGCCACAATGACCACCTCAAACATACCAATGATCATGAAGATGGTGCAATATGAAACATTTTGTTCTGTTATAGGTAAGGTAGCAATGAGTTGGAGTGAGTGGACTTGAGGGCAACTAAGAGCAACAAGGAGAGAGAATCAAAACAGTACCAGGAACAATAGTAATAGCAACTTATACTTATCACTCTGTAGCAGTTAGTCATCTAAACATATATTTATGTATAAGCTCTTTGAATCCTCACCACAATCCCAGGAGTTCCATATAAATGAGGAAACACATAAATAGAATTAGCTCACCCAGAGATAGTAAGTGGGATGAAAAAAAAAAAAAAAAAAACAAAAACAAACTCACTGCCATCGAGTTGATGCTAACTCATAACGAACCCCTCTGGGCTACTGAGGTAGTAAATCTTTACAGAAGTAGATTGCAGAGTGGCTGATGGGTTTGAACCTTCAACCTTCTGGCTAGCAGTCACATGCCTTAGGTACTATGCCACCAGAGCCCCTTATAAGTGAATAGGATAGGAACCAAACAGTCTGGTTCACTCTAGATCCTGCCTTCTTATACACTGTACCAGGTTGTCATAACTTTATTTTCCATGTATATGCTGTGCATTTAGTTAGGTATTTGTTCTATAATTTTAAACAACTTAACTTTTCTGGGACTAAGATGAGTAGAAATCACTTCAATACATAAGATGTTTTCTCTGCTACCACCACCAGACTGACATAAATTTCCTCTCTCTCTGTTATATGATTTATGGAGAACAGAGAAACCATCATGAGTGAGACAGATGCCTAAGTGAGGGGAGAGTGTAAAGCTACAGTTCCCCTAGATGAGACATCACTATGTGATTCTCAAGGTACTAACATCATCCCTTAGCTGCATCTAGAATATTCTCAAGATTCTCTGTGCCCATCTACATTGAAGGTTTCCTGCTGTCAACTAGAAATGAGCATAATCAGTTTAGACCAGCCCAAAGTATTTCCACCTAAAAACCTTACTTAACAGCTTTTTCCAAACTCACATTCTCATCAAACTTCCTCAGAGTAAAGCCAAGAACTTTGCATTTATTTCAAAGAAATGATTATGACCCAATGACAAATTTGCCCTGCTTCAAAAGGAATCATCTTTGCTTAAATGACCACTTTGCAGAACATATTCCATATAAAGAGACTATTATCTTGCTCAAATCAAAGTTTGACATCTCTACTTGAATGCCAGGCTTCCTTGTTGCAGTAATTTGGTTTATTTCTAAATAAAAAAATTTATTAAAATTTTTGTATAACTCAACTCCAGAATCTGTTATTGAACACTGTCTTGAGCTTCACTGTCGACCAAGGGATGCCCATAGCTCCCCAGCCTGGTAAAAAGACACAAATTCATGCTAATTGGAGAGATGTAAAGGAAAAGTGCTACCTCCCCTTCTCAATTCCTCCATAATAGCATTCTTTTCCTGGTAGCATAGTGGCTAAGACACTTGCCTGCTAACCAGAGGGCTGGTGGTTCAAACCC